GCAAATTCAGCTAAATATTGCAGTATAATAGTAGTATAATCCTCATAAAATTCACAGTTGAAAAGATATTTGTATCTCTCTTAAACAAGAATCCTTACCATCCTTCCATATGCTGACGACAAAATGATCTGTAGAGTTTTGGAACAAAGCAACAACATTTTCATTCAATGGGTCCATATTTTTCATGAGCCATTGATCGGCTGAATAATCGACGCGACCTGCATAGTGGATTACAGCAAAATCAGACTTCGCCCGCATCTCAGGAATAACAAACTTTGGATGCTTAGAATGATTAACAAATAACTTTTCGACGAAAGACTTATCAGTAGCTTTAGGAAAAAGGCACTGTTCATCCAATAACGCAAGGATACCCATAGGCTGAAAAGTGCAAATCATTAAAAAAGTTCACAAAGATCCTTTTAACCCACTATTTCTCTACAATACCTTTTCAATTAAATCTATAGTAGGTTGCAGATCAAGACCAAAATCAATGAATTCCCAATCTATTCCCTCTTTCTGGTACTCTTCTTGTTCCAGTACAAACATAGTGTTGTTGAACAACTGTTGCAGCTTTTCATTAGTGTAATTTATACAGAGCTGTTCGAAAGAATTCAACTCGAAGATTTCAAACCTAAAATACTAGAAAATACTTTGCTACAGAGAAATGTAATCCAATAATACAAGTACTTCTAACAGCTAAAGACAGAAAAGAATAGAATTTTTATTTATTTTTAACAATCTTAACAAAGCTTACTTACCCAGCAATATCTAAAATGCCAATAAAGGAAGCCCCTTGTCGCCGTGTTCTGTCCAATGATTTGTTCAATCTTCCAACTAACCAACGGAACATCTTCTCATAACAAGCCTAGAACCAAAATCAAAAGCAATGGATTTTAAATGGTATACTAATATACCAATCCAAAAAAAAATTCATACTCACAAATTAAAGAATTGTAGTAATAACACAAAAAACCAAAAACTCTCTGAGTTTTATTACTGTACCTTGCTAATAGCCTCAACAGCAAACTCAGCTTGCTCCTTATTCTGAGCCTTGTGCACGTACTCCCTTCCGACTTTGATACGCGGTCTTAAGAACGCCTTTGTAAAATCAACCAAAGGCAAACCCAAAAGATGGCAAAGCTTTTGCGCAACTAAAAATTTACTTAATATTGGGAATAGTTTACAGAATACTAATTTTTTAACCACCAGTGGTAAAGCAGAGCATAAAATTGAGAAAAATTTTTGTTTTTTTACTTTAGACAAATGAAATAAATATAAAGAGAGAAAATGAGACTAATCACACACCTCTATCGTCAGGTAAGACAGCTTGATCGGACTTCTTTTCTTGCATGAATTCCATATTACCAAATAGGAGAACTGCCGATACCATTCGTAACACAGCTAAGAACACAAAAGTACAGGGTAGTAAAATTCGGTTCAAGCAAAAAGACTTGTTAGCGAGCTACTAAAAGGGAAAAGTGGAAGAAACTACTCTCTGAAATTCGATTAAAAAGAG